CTGTAAAACATTTTGGAGTCGTCGTATCATGAAACTATTTTTATCTTTTTGTATGTTTGTCTATACACACACAGACACGTACACATACACATATATACATGCACGACATAGAGTTATATCATCGATGAATGCTTTAAAAGTTGGTTTGTTATAAACTGAATAGGATGGTAAATTGAATATTGTTCGTTTCAATGTTAATCATGTCTGATCTTGTGCTAATTGTTTCTTGACTTCATACGGTGATAGAATCTTTAATTAAACCCTAATATTAAAACTTAGAGATAATAATGTCATTTTGACTTGAATCGCGGCTTCAAATATGCATATGTTACATACAGTTTCTTGCACAAATAATTAAAACTATTATACAAAAAGTATATGTGTAATTAATTTGACTACAATCGAGTCAATTAACTCAACTGTTAGCTTAGAAGACTATTTACTCTAATCAATACACCTAATCCCAACACATTCTATGCACTATTCATGATTAAGATGATTCACTTCATGTGATACAATACAAATGTAACACTCCTTCATCAAAAAAGAACCACCTGTAAGGTTGTAACAGCATAACCCTATAAGAAATACTATTTTCATCCAAACAAAATGACGAAAATTCATGGAAGGGTGCATGGTGGTTTCAGCATAGGACTAATTATAGAACAACCCGCAACCATTACAAAATGAATAGCCCCACAAGGCCCGACAATGACTCGTCCTAGGGCTTTGTTTTCACTTTGAAGTTCGGTTAAACCTTGTAAATTTATCTGATTGTAAACGTTATTTCTAAGACAGATCCTACATGCACAACACCTCTAATTGTGATAAGAGAAAAAGGTAGGGGTGTGAGGAAGAAGAGTTAAGTGGGAAAAATAGAGGGGAGGGTATTAAAAATGTGGGTAAACCACATGGGGTTTTTGGTGTATATTCCATGATAAATAATGGTTCACATGTTGACAGGCTAAGAGGGGTTATGGGTGGGACCCGCTTGGACCCGCGTTTTGGACGGCGCGTGTGGAGATACATACAGGGTTGACGCCCCTCCGCACCGTACAACCGACACCAGCACCGGTTGTTTTACTCCCCCAAGAGGCTTTTATGTTGCATACAATTTATAATTTTTAGAATTAAAAACTAAGGGGTCGATTATCAATTGCTTATCCGGGTAAGCATTTATTGAATAATATTACCTTACTGCATGAATATGATAAATAGCAAGAATCTTATTCGGTAAAAGCGAGACAAGAACCAACAGTCTTATCCGATAAGTGAGGGTGACGAATCTTACCACGGTAAGCACTTACCGGGTAAATTGTTGCATGCAATGTCGTTTTGGTGGACTAAAATCTTACCCAATAAATAAATAATACTGTTAAATTTTATTGACAAACACTTACCGGATAAATATTTGGTAAACAGCCCCTAAAATCTTCAAAAAGAAAATAAATTCAAATTTGGTAACTTTTAAAGCAATTATATTATTAACATATCAAACGTTCCAATAAATTTTAAATATATATAATTTTATTGGTAAAACAGTAAATAATTCATTTCTCTTACGATCGAATAATTAATTCTAAAGTATTGTCAACAGACTTTTAAAATTTTCATTTTAAAAAATCTGTTTGAGATATTCTTATCTATTATAAACTACCATATATATATATATATATATATATATATATATATATCAATTTAAAGAATACACCTATTTTATATTATAAAATATTAAATTGTTATTAAAAGTTACCCTTTTTAGAGCCACAATCGTTACATTTGCGACACTTATAATATTTCTAACAGATTTTTTAAAATTTCTTCAAAGTAAAATATCAAAAGTTAAAATCTTTAAAAAAAAAATTACATTCATATCCGACAGATTCTCTGTTTTAAAGAATCAACAATGATTATAATATTAAAATGTTTCATTCATTTAATAAAATCTTTAGAGGATCAAAGTTTGTTATTGCTGCCTTCACTTAGTAATTATTTTTGGGGTGATCTTCATATTTGGAAAAAAAAAACATTTCTTCATACCATTTTTTTGATTTTGAAGATAGTTTTAGGAAAGATATTGGAGCAAAATATAGGTTCAAAATCCTCTTTTTCTCTATTTTGAAAAATTTAAGATTTTCATGAGAACATCTATGCTATATTATAAAGCATTTGAAAAAATTCTTGAAAATATATACTATATTATAAAGCATTTGACAAAAACTCTAAAAAACCATTTTTTATGTGTAAAATACTGTTTATTAATGCATATTACTTAAAACTCAATTCATGTAACTAACTGTAGATAAATATAATCAAATACAGGATAAACATCTCATTT